TTTCATAGACAAATGTACAGGGGGGCAAAACACGCAAAACTTTTGGGACACAATTAAACCTTTTATAACCAACAAAGGAAATCAAAAACAAATTGACATCGTCCTAGATGAAGAGAAAATAGTTAATGAGCAAACAGAAGTAGCAGAAATTTTTAACAACTTTTTTGTTAACGTAGCAAAAGAAATAGGTACAAACAGCATCGACATAAACAATACCCACCCTAGTTTACAAAAAATCACAGAAAACCAGAAACACAAAAACAATTCAAATTTAAACCAGTAGACGAACAATTCATACATAAACAATTTAACAAAATAAACCCTAAGAAAGCAACGGGCTATGATAACATATCGCCTAAATTATTACGTTTAGCACAACCCGCCATCACTAAACCAGTCGCTACACTTGTCAATACCGCCCTATCCACCTCCACCTTTCCAGACAACCTAAAATCAGCACAAGTCAGACCAATACACAAGAAAAACAGTACACTTGACAAAGGCAACTACAGACCCGTCAGCATTCTCCCGGCACTTTCCAAGTTTTTTGAGAGATCCATACATTCCCAACTCAGTGAATTCTTTGATGACGTTTTTCACCCTTATCTCTCTGCATTTAGAGCAGGATATGGGTGTCAAACGGCATTACTGAGAGTCATCGAGGACTGGAAGATGGCACTAGACCAAAATAAGTATGTAGCCTGCATACTGATGGATCTCTCAAAGGCCTTTGACTGTTTGCCCCACAACCTTCTTCTTCTCAAACTCCAAAATTATGGTTTTGATCAGTCGGCAACAAATTTACTTTCGGACTATTTAAGTAATAAAAAACAATGCGTCAAACTTGGCAAAACCACTAGCACATTTCAAAATTTATACAAGGGGGTACCCCAAGGATCAATTTTAGGCCCTATTCTTTTCAACATTTTTATCAACGACATATTCCATTTCATAGAACATAGCAACCTGTACAACTATGCCGACGACAACACACTCAGCAAAGCACACTCCTCACTGGACATAGTCAAATCTTCACTACAGACAGACAGCCACGCACTAATACACTGGTTCGCAGACAACCACATGCAGGCAAATCCAGACAAATTCCAGGCAATGGCTATAGGCAAAAAAACACAACAAGAAAATATCACATTTAGTTTAGGACAGAACAATTTGATTAACTGCGAACCAGAAGTGAAATTGCTAGGTGTCACCATAGATTTCCAACTAAACTTTCATACACACATCTCAAACACTTGTAAAAAAGCATCTAGACAATTAAACGTATTAAAACGAATAGGCAGACACTTAAACAGACTAGGCAAACTCACTATATATCACTCATTCATCCTCTCAAACTTTAACTTCTGTCCCCTCACATGGCATTTCTGTGGCGAAACAAACACAAAAAAAAGGAAAAAATACAGGAAAGGGCACTCAGATTCATATACGACGACCACACATGTACATACGAAGTTTTATTGGCCCGCTCAAAATTACCATCCCTCAAAATTAGACGCCTCAGAAATTTTGCAATCGAAGTATACAAAATTACAAACAAACAAACACCCACATACCTGCATGACCTCATCAGTACCACACAAAAGCCATACTCCTTTAGATACCACAACACAGCAGACATACCACAAGTAAGAACAACCAAATTTGGCAAACACTCTTTTCGATCTGAAGCACCAAAAATATGGAATTCTCTGCCAGACCACTTTCGAACAGCAACAACACTTTCGCAATTCAAAACACTTATAAACAGCTGGTACGGACCACAATGTAAATGTGTCACATGCAAACAACCTACATAATTTAACACACAACAACATAGCATCACTTATTACTCTCATACAAGTACACAGGGTTTTTAAATATACTTTTACACCCCATGTTTTTAGACTGATATCTGCTATTTTAAACAGCTACTTGTGTGCATGTGCTTTTAATAAATGATAGTGCTAACCTAGTTGAAAATGAAATGTGATGTAAGAGTGAAGTATTGACTTTGTGACTGTTTTATTATGCAATGTGTATGTCCTGTATGTTAGTCGGTTTTAATAGCTCCTTAGAGCTAATGTTGCATTGTTATACCATGTACCGACTCTAAATAAAACTTTTGACTTTGACTTTGACTTTGACTGCTCCAGCATTATGGTACAGACTGGAGTGGTAAACATTCTTGCCCTAACTCCCTCTGGGCAGGCTCGGATCGAGGTTCCTTTGAAGGAAGCCTACTGACCTAGCTATCTTCAATGATGTAGCACTGATGTGATCATGCCAGGAGAGGTTATTGCTGATGGTGACGCCAAGGTATTGGCTGTTCCCTATTTCTGCAAGTTGTGTTCTGTTCAGGCAGTAGTTTAAGTTTTAAGATGTTCCCCCTACGAGTTACACGCATGATGACGCACTTGTCCGGGTTAAAAGCAATCTGCCAATCATCTGTTCACTTGTGGAGGGCATTAAGATTGTCCTGTAGCTTGACGCTGTCTCTGGCAGAATGTACTTGTTGTTAGATGATGCAGTTATCTACAAATAACCAGACGTTGGATTCCACTTCCTCCGACAGGTCATTTATATACAGCAGGAACAACAGCAGGTCGATCACAGTGCCCTGGAGTACTCCTGTACCTCTCTGCTTCTGATGATCTGCTTCCTTCAATGATAACTCGTTGTTTCCTGCTGTATAAAAAGTTCCTAATCCATTGGTGTATGTTCCCTCATATCCCATAGTGGAGGAGCTTGTGGAGGAGACGTTGATGTGGGACTTTGTTGAATGCCTTGGAGAAGTCCAGAAGAATGATGTCTGTCAGCTTCCCACTGTCAATGCCCTCGGCAAGGTTGTCGATGGTCTTTGAACATATTGCAGTCAATGACACTGGTCTGAGGTTAGCAGCGCTGGACCGATTGCCCTTCTTAAAAACTGGAACGACATGGGCTAATTTTCATGCATCCGGCACAGCGGCCGAGTCGAGTGATGACTGGAATATCATCCTTAAGACAGGAGTTATTAGGGCCCCGCAAAATGTATCTCATGTTCAGGTGTTGATGGTGACCCATGGATGGCAGAATGTCATGTCTTCACAGAGCTAAATTGGGAATTCAGGATTTCGGACCTAGTGCCAGCATCGCTGTACAGCAGGCCATCTCTCTTCTATAAGGGTGAAACTCCTAAAGACTTCTGTCTTTTACTCTTGATAAAGCACCAGGAGCGTTTTGGGTTCTGCTTACAGTCTGGACTGTGATGGTGTTTACATACTGGCTGTAGGCAGATCTGATCTTTCTCCTTACCTCAGTCTTCAGGGTATGGTACCTTCTCCAGTCACGATCCTTTCTCTTAGCTGTGGCTTTGTGGTAGGCTCGGTCCCTTAGTCTAATGAGTTGTCTGATGTCAGTGTTAATTCACGAGTTTGTGTGGCACAATCTTGACATTCGAACCTGTGGATTAACACTGACATCAGACGACTCATTAGATGTAAGGATCGAGCCTACCACGACGCCAAAGCTAAGGAAAAGCATGTATCTATAAATTGACCCAGTACTAATAGATTTCAGCAGAGCCTTTGATAAGGTTCCCCACGGAGTGAAACCTTATATCTTATGACGAATTAAAGTTTTCTTGACTTCCAGGACACAGTGAATATTTGTACAAGGCAGTCAGTCAACACCAGTAAAAGTAGGGTCCAGGGTACCTAAAGGGACCAATACTTTTTCAATGCCATATCAGTGATTTGCCTGCTTGTGAAGCATCTACCATATGCCTTTTTTTTGACAACTATATATAAAACCGCCCAATCAAATGTCTTCTAGACCACCTGGACTTTTAGAAGGACCTTACGTCCTTAGAAGAATGGGCTCCTAAATAGTACATGTCTTTCAACATGGTAAATTGTTACATCACCCAATCTTCACGATCCAGGTCACCAAGCACCTACAGATACCAACTTGACGGCCACATACTCCAGGAAGTGGGAGATAATCCATACTTATTATTAAAATGTTTACTATCTGAAGAACAATAAAGGCCTAGATTCATAAGTTTTAGCCAGAAGCTTGCTGAAATATAGTGCTTTTTTATTGAAAAGAAAAGGCAAGTGAAACAGGTGAGCGTCTTCAAGCCCCTTAGGCCTCTTGTCTTGTCCTGATTTAATATTTAACGAAGACGGTTGTAGGGAATTATGTCAGGTGGTAGCAATAGAGGATTCCAGTCTTTAACATTCCAGGATGAAAAACTCTTGAAGTAATTTTGTTGGCAGTTTTTAAGTTATTAGTAAGAAGAAAGATAATATTTCAACACACCTTACATGCATTTTTTTTCAACGAATGATCATCATTATTCAGATTGGAAAATAAAACTACATCAGAACGGAGTCTCTTGGATCAATGTTTAGGGCTCTCAGAAACAGAAGTGGTCTACAGATGTCAACCATTCTTCTGACTGTGAAGTTCAGTTCATCCTGCTCCTGTCCTGTTGATGTGGACTTAGAATCAAGTGTTCTTGATGTGAAATCAACCCTGTCTAAACAACTCCAGATTCCTGCCGAGGAAATACAGATTATTCTTGCTGGAAGAATCTTGGCAGATAAATCTACAATAAAGGTAATATAGAATTTTCACATCTTTGAAGATAAAAATGTATCAGGTCCTCCTTAATATTCTCTCCTTGCTAAACTCCTTCAATTTGAAAAAAAACACTGTGTTTCACACACTAACACTGAAATGCTGTATGCTGATCTCTATATTTTAGTATATATAGTCGGTTCACTGTTTCATGAATTGTCTGCTGAGTGTTAAGTTAGTATTTTTTTTACAGGATCTCTGTATCGGTAACTGTTCAGTTCTACATGCCTTCACACAGAAGCCACCAGAGTTTGATGTTAAGGTGGGAAATGAATCAGCAGATGGTAATACAAATACGAGTGTTAGGAAAGGTGAGAAACTAACAGGTGGTAATACAAATACGAGTGTTAGGAAAGGTGAGAAACTAACAGATGGTGATATAAATACGAGTGTTAGGAAAGGTGAGAAACTAACACCTGGTGATACAAATACGAGAGTTAGGAAAGGTGAGAAACTAACACCTGGTGATACAATTACAAGTGTTAGGAAAGGTGAGAAACTAACAGGTAGTGATACAAATACGAGTGTAAGGCAAGGTGAGAAACTAACAGATGGTGATATAAATATGAGTATAAGGAAAGGTGAGAAACTAACAGGTGGAGATATAAATACGAGTGTTAGGAAAGGTGAGAAACTAACAGGTGGTGATATAAATATAAGTGTTAGGAAAGGTGAGAAACTAACACCTGGTGATATAAATACGAGTGTTAGGAAAGGTGAGAAACTAACAGGTGGTACATGTAATACAAATACAAGTGTTAGGAAAGGTGAGAAACTAACAGGTGGTGATATAAATATGAGTGCTAGGAAAGGTGAGAAACTAACACCTGGTGATATAAATATGAGTGTTAGGAAAGGTGAGAAACTAACAGGTGGTGATATAAATACGAGTGTTAGGAAAGGTGAGAAACTAACACCTGGTGATACAATTACAAGTGTTAGGAAAGGTGAGAAACTAACAGGTAGTGATACAAATACGAGTGTAAGGCAAGGTGAGAAACTAACAGGTAGTGATATAAATACGAGTGTTAGGAAAGGTGAGAAACTAACACCTGTAAATCCATCAACCTCAAGGTATGTATTATCTATTCCACAACTCTTGTAGGTTACATCACTCCAAACACATTGGTATCTAACTTCCTGCAGAGTTATATCACAAAAAAAATCATATTTGCAGCTTATGGTGCATCGATTTGTACATGAAAACTCCAAGCATAATATGCTTGAATAGTGTGTGAATATTTATGACATATTTTGGTCTCTAATTCTGACATGGAGAAAATCTCATGCCCATAAGTGACATTGGGCATATCAATTTATCATTGCTTTATATTGAACAATGACTTAGACTTATCTAGCTGAAACCCAACACTGGAAATTGTATACTCTGTGTACAGATCATCTCCATGACAGCATGAATCTTGCATGAACAATTAAAACTTATTTAATAAATACCACATTCCAGTGAATTACAACACTTATATATGTAAGTTTTGAAATTGTAATAATGCAAGGTGCTTTGTTAACCTCCATAGCTTTATGCTGCTCCTAATGTGTTGACTAGGGGAACTCCGTTACCAGTACTTTGTCTTCTGTAAGGAGTGTCAATGTCTACAACCAGGAAAACTGAGGGTCAGCTGCCAGTCCTGTAAAAGTGGATACATCATACTCTATAGAGTAAGTGACTGAAAACATTATTATTAAGACATCTTCCTGAGTAAGTGACTGAAAACACAATTATTAAGACATTTTCCTGAGTAAGTGACTGAAAACATAATTATTAAGACATCTTCCTTAGTAAGTGACTGAAAACACAATTATTAAGACATCTTCCTGAGTAAGTGACTGGAAACATAATTATTAAGACATCTTCCTGAGTAAGTGACTGAAAACATAATTCTTAAGACATCTTCCTGAGTAAGTGCCTGAAAACATAATTATTAAGACATCTTCCTTAGTAAGTGACTGAAAACATAGTTATTAAGACATCTTCCTGAGTAAGTGACTGAAAACATAATTATTAAGACATCTTCCTGAGTAAGTGACTGGAAACATAATTATTAAGACATCTTCCTGAGTAAGTGACTGAAAACATCATAATTAAGACATCTTCCTGTGGTATGGGTGATTTATAATGCAAATATTACAAGTGTATAATACTATTTAATCATTTTGGACAAGTCAAATTCCAGGGATATTTGCTGACAACAAAATATTTTCTGAATGTTCAAAATCAGTTTTTGAATTAACAAAACTAATTGATGAATTCCCAGATGAAATCATTGATAAGTAATTGAACTTGCAAAAAGTAAAGATCAAGTTTTTGATTTGAGACCAAAATAATAACTAAAGAGCATGTGTTGATATTTCACCTAAAACAAAATAACTACATTTTTGTATTAACAGGATCCTGATAACTTTGATGATGTGCAACAGAGAGGGCGCATAAATGGGGAATGTAAGAGTGAGCAATGCAATGGACAACAGAGGGAGGTGGTGAGTATAATGTAAGAGTGAGCAATGTAATGGACAACAGAGGGAGGTGGTGAATATAATGTAAGAGTGAGCAATGTAACAGACAACAGAGGGAGGTGGTGAGTATAATGTAAGAGTGAGCAATGTAACAGACAACGTAGACCAGACAAAATTGAGTTAAATTGTTCAAGTTTCTATTAATATAAGTGCCTTTGAAAATCTTAAAGCATTTATATCGATTATATTTTAGGAATTTTACTTCAAATGTACGGGACACCAAGGTGAAGAGAGAGAAACAGCTGCTGTGTTAAAGCATGTTCGACCTAACAGGAAACATAGACTGTGTGTTGTCTGCTCTGAAACAGGGTAATTTTTTTTTTTTTATTGAAGATGAATTGATATTTGATATAGGTTTGATTTCATACACATGTGTCAAGATGGTACTGTCTCTGTGTTATTCATACCTCTTCTTTTTTTTCATTAGAAATTTTGGCAGAGGTGCTGTATTTTAGCAAATACTAGTAATAGTAAATGGGAGATAAGAAGTAAAAAAATAAATATTTTTGATGTCTTAACTCAAAACTATATTGGTGCTTGTTGCTCGTACCTGCAGATCTCCTGTTATGGTGTTTCCATGTGAACGACGTCATGTGATCTGCCTTGACTGTTTTAAATCCTACTGCGTTGTGAGACTGAATGACCGAGGTTTTACAGAAAATGAAAATGTAGGCTACAGCCTACCATGTCCAGGTAAGTAAAACACCTGCTGGTCCTTCTGTTTTGTACCCACGTTTAGGAGCTATGGGAGGGCGACTAACAAAGTGTCAGTAGAAACGGTAAACACAACATGTCTGTCCTCCTGTCTTGTACATTTATTTAGGAGCATGGGAAAGGGGTGTGGGTTGGGACAAAATCTTCAGTAAAACAGGTACACTTTCAATACACTTTAAACATTTGCTTATCAGAAAGTTAATTTGTAAAGAAACTATTTCATGAGCATCAAACTTAAATAATGGCTTGAAGTCATTATAAACACAATTTAACAGGTGTATGGTATTTATTTGTGAAGGAATTATTTCATGAGCATCAAACTTAAAAATTGGCTTGAAGTGATTATAAACATAAATTAACTGGTCTATGGTATTTATTTGTGAAGGAACTATGTCATGAGCATCAAACTAAAAATTTGACTTGAAGTTAATTTAACTGGTGTATGGTATTTATAAGTAATCCCCCTTGTATTTGTTTACTTTGACTTATTTGTATCTACAATTCCCCAAATCATTAGAATGGTAAAATGACCTCTTCTGTTTGATAAATTCTGCTGTATCTACAATTCCCCAATTTGACAGTATGGTAAAACAACCTCTTTGGTTTGATAAACCCTGCTGTATCTACAATTCCTCTAATCAATAGTATGGTAAAACGACCTCTTTGGATTGATAAATCCTGCTGTATCTACAATTCTCCATAATCAATAGTATGGTAAAATGACCCCTTCGGTTTGATAAATCCTGCTGTATGTACAATTTCCTAAATCAACAGTATGGTAAAACGACCCCTTTGGTTTGATAAATCCTGCTGTATCTGCAATTCCCCAAATCAAAAGTATGGTATGACCCCTTTGGTTTGATAAATCCTGCTGTATCTACAATTCCCTAAAACAATATAGTATGGTAAAATGACCCCTTTGGTTTGATAAATCCTGCTGTATCTGCAATGCCCCAAATCAACAGTATGGTAAAATGACCCCTTTGGTTTGATAAATCCTGCTGTATCTACAATTCCCTAAAACAATATAGTATGGTAAAATGACCCCTTTGGGTTGATAAATCCTGCTGTATCTGCAATTCCCCAAATCAACAGTATGGTAAAATGACCCCTTCGGTTTGATAAATCCTGCTGTATCTGCAATTCCCCAAATCAACAGTATGGTCAAATTACCCCTTTGGTTTGATAAATCCTGCTGTATCTACAATTCCCCAAATCAACAATATGGTAAAATGACCCCTATGGTTTGATAAATCCTGCGGTATCTAAAATTTCACAAAGCAATAGAATGTAACATGACCCCCTCAATTGATAAATCGTGCTGTTATAGAAAAGTTAAGAAGTAATCAGAAAGTCGTTTATTCTGACAAGTGTGACTTCTGTTAATCAGCCATTTTAACATATTATAGTTGAACACAATATATTACAGCTGCTTCCATTGTTATTTTGATATGTTTTACATTCACAGTTGGTTGCCCGAATTCCTTGATTGAAGATCCTCATCATTTCTGTCTTTTAGGAGTTGATCAGGTATAGTTCCCAGCTCATTATAGAAGTTCGGAAGAAACATTCAAGATAGATAATAGTAAAATTTGAACAATAAATAATCAATTTGAATACGCAAAAAAAGAATTACATGTCTATCCCAGTCACATTTCTGTAACAAGGATCACAGCACTCTGTCAGTTTTCTATAGCCTTAGTAAAACTTCTGTGATAAGGATTACAGATTTCTTCAACTGAGCATCTCGACTTCTACCATATTACATAGAACATTATTTAAGTGATACACATAACCAACAGAGACCCAAACTCTTAATGTGATCCTCCTTCCTTAGAAGTCCAACTTTAAAATGCTTTGTTGCCAGTATGCATATGAATATATTGTTGCTGTGAAATGTGTTGAAATGAAGCTTATAAATAAATGTACAGATCATATCTAAATGTTTGTCCCAGTATGAAAGGTACAAGAGCTTTGCTACAGAGGAGTATGTCCTACAGAACGGAGGAGTCCTGTGTCCAGCAGTAGGATGTGGCTCTGGTTTCCTCTTGACCGAGGCTTCCCGAAAGGTTACCTGCCCTACCTGTCAGGTGTGATACCTCGCTGTCAATGTTCTGCTTAGCCATCCAGTATTTTGTCTGACTTGTTATACTTAAGTACAATGTAACAGACCGTATTTGGTAACAAAATTATCATTTTATTCAAAAGAGGAACTTTTGATTTTTGATGGTTCAGATTTCATAATGTAGATTACTAGTGCATTGTTAATTTTCAATATTTCTATTCCATACAATCTGCATTGTATCAAGTTTTAATGAATAAATGAAAGTGTAAAGCTAATGACTTCCTGTATAAATAGAAGCTTGCCATGCTTCACTGAATGTTCAAGTCCACTTGTTTTTGAAGTTAATACCTTATTTTGCTTGTCATTAAGGAAATCACACTTTTTTGTGTGACATTTCATTCAGAAAAAA